CTCTCTGGAGGGACCATAGTGTGGGGTGGGAGAGGACAACCTGAAGCCTCAGGGCCCCAATGGCAGTAGGAAGAGGGGAGTTGGTAGGCTCCTGAGCATCCCAGCCAACTTTGTCACTTTATCCAGAGGTTTGGTATTTATCTGTTTATCTAAACATTCAGCAAAACTACATTTATTGACAATATACTTAAGGATACTGTTTTAATGATACAAGGTAAAACTTTCCATTGTCTAAGAAGCTCACAGTCCCCAGGGAGGAGAGGCAAGTATAATAGGACAATGCACTAGTCGGTGAGGTGACAAGGCCATGCCAGGTGTGGGAAAGCTAACCCAGTGGTCAGGCAAGGCCTCACACAGGAAGAAACACTTGAACTGAGTCTATAACAATTAGTAGACAGAAGTGCTATGAGGTTGTAATTTACTTTAAAATATGCACTATAGACAAGGTGATAGTATGTGCTATTAATATTTATACTGAATTCTAGTGGTCAGTCAGTTGCCCTGGTCAGAAATTGATATTTCAGATTATTTAATCAGAAAGTTCTCAATGTAATGATAAGGCCCAGACTCCAGCTTCCTTAAAGCAAAGGAAGTCAGAAGCTTTATTAAAGTAGTGTATACTAAAAATGGTGTAATTATTGGCTTCTTAATTAACATAATGGACAATATAAATGGTCTTTTATTGATTAAGTTAGTGGTATTTAATAAACAAGGTGTCCCTCCAAAAATAAATAAAAACTTTAACAGCTGATAGCTCAATTATGAAAATGAAATGTATTTTAATAAATACTGGCTTTATAATTATTCAAAGCATGTGTATACATTTTTTTGGACACCCTAAATGTGAATTCAATATACAATGACTACAGTATTTCAGAGACCCTTCCAGAAGTCCATAATTAGAATGTACAGATCTACTGTGGCTTTTAGTCTATACTGTACAGTAAAACCTCAGTTCTTGCACTTTATTTGTTCAGGAAGGCTGCTCAGGAAGTGATTTGTTTGAAAATTGAATCATTTTTTCCCATTAAAAATAATGTAAATTTAATTAATCCATTCCAGACCCACAAATGATTCCCTGTTTTAACCTTTCTTTCTTCTTCTTTTTTTTTAACCTTTCTTATATATAGTGCATGTCTAATGTTTGGTTTAATATTGAAATAAACACTTATTTTTAAAAATTTATTGGACACCCTCTCCTAGCCTTAAACAAATCACTTCAGCACTCCTTCCAGGAGTGTTTTTCAGAAGGTCAGTGTGCAGCATCTTTGCTTTTTCATACCCTAGAATGCTGTCACTGGCTAACTGCTTTTCATTTATCCAAATCAACAACAGTTTTTCCACCTCTTCAATTGTCTGTGATTTTGTGAACACTTTCACACCCTTAGCAACATCAGCATTCTTGATAGCCTTTTTATGTTTTAAAATTGTGCTAATCCTCGATTTTGCCATCAACAAAAACATTCTCACCTTTGTTGCCTGAGAGATGCTTTTTGTCATGCTGAAGTGGCATGAAAGAGTGTCAGGTTGAAAACCAAAATTTTGTTCTACAACCTAGACATTTTTTCCCATGAACTACTTGGTTGAGAACCATATTGTTCTCGATGGCAGGCTTTTGAGAACCAAGATTTAACTGTGCTTTTAGCATTGTGCCCAAGGTTTGATACCTAAATGAAGCTTTGGAAGATTCTCATTGCTGGTTGCATTACAAGAATAATAGGTGCATGCTTATCCAATATTGGTGTGTCTTCTTCCAGTGTTCCTTCTAGGGAAGATGATTGGCAGATCATTTCCAAAGGTCCTGGACCTCTCAAGCTCACAGGAGAGAGGTCTTATGCTTACTTGCTAAAATGCGTTTGAAAAGAAGATAGTCACATGTGGCAGAAATTGGTCTTGAGAACTGATTTCATCATCACATTGTAAGAATTTGGGGTATGGGGACTCCCTTTACCTGCCAAAAAGATTGAATTTGGGGTATGGGGACTCCCTTTACCTGCCCAAAAGATTGAATTTGGGGTATGGGGACTCCCTTTACCTGCCAAAAAGATTGGTTTAGATCAATTTATCTCAAGAAGTTCAACTAGGTAGTACAGGCAAAGAGGAGGTCTTTGGGCAGGGCCATTCTCAGGGACTCATAAGTAGGTGAGTTTGCCTGAGGTGGGATTATCAGGACGGCAGCAAATTCCCCTCACTTCTGTGCTCAGTTGAGTTTGGACCTCAATCCTTACAATAATGCTAATGAAAATATGCCCAAGGATGATTCACTCCAGAGTCACCTGAGGACATAGATTCTGCTCTTAAAAACAACCTCCCAGGCCATTTTTCACGCAGCAGATCTTACTAATATGGGGAGCCACTGCAGGGCACTCAGCAGAGGAATGAGTAGGTTGGTAGTGTAGTCTGACCCTCTGGCGGCAGGATGGAGTATGTTAGGGAGAGGTTGGATGTGAGACTCCGATACTGGTCAAGACTTTGGTGACAATCCAGATGATGGTTCTGGAAGGGGTGTGTACTAATTTAAAGAGACCTTTAGGTAGCAACCAGCTGGCCTGCAAAAAGGCTGGATTTAGGGAGCCAGTGGCCTGATGATGACTGACAGACTTGTGGTGTGATGCTAGGACAGACAGTGATCGTAGCAAGCCTCTTTTGGGCTACTGGTGGTTCTGTCCCTTTTGTCCTGGGAATGAAGATGACAGTTTACTTACAGTTTTGACACTCCATAGGCCTCTTTGGTTACTGCCCCCATTGCCCACACTGATTTGAGTTATAGGAGTTCCCTAGCATGGCTCCTGCTGTCCACCCTGCTCCTCCAGGTCTGCCAGTCCCCACCTGTGTCATGCCTGGTGGATTAGAAATTCTAGAAAGTGTGGTTCAAATTATTATAGCAATATCTGATGATATTCATGTAATGAGAAATTATACCCTACACCATCACACACATTTAGTTCCCTTAGAGAAAAAAATAATATCCCCCAAAGTGGATTATATAGAAGAAACAGCAAGGGCAGTTTCCCTCCAATCACTGTTGCCACAAATCCCTGCCAGATGGCCAAGCAGAGTGGCTCATGTTTTAGCAAATGACAGAACCTCATTAGGAGACAATTTCATGTTTTAGATGCTGTAGGCTTTTATACAAGGTGATGTTCATTTCTTAAACTTGTATGACGACATAATGAATGCATGTAAGTGATGTGTCCAAAGAAATGTAAAGCAATCAGTAAATTCTTTGCATATTTTATTTTTCATTTGTTGATATCCAACTCACACACATCTGGTGTATTTTACATCTTTGCAATAAAACATGGTTACAATAGCTTAAGGAATTTATATATCCAAAATATTCCACCATGATCTCAAGATGAAATGAACTTGTCTTCCAGATGTTCTGTGTCCTCCCGATTCTAAGCTACAAACTCAAGATATTGCTTACAGCCTGGTGATGAATAACTTAATCATTACGCTGATTCCCCAGAATTTCAGGATTTCATAAATACAAACAAGAATGAAGAAGGAATTCAGTGCTAAAACTTACTAGTATAGGTGAATAACAAATAAGTAGTCACATAAATAAATAATGACATGTTTCTGGTGCAAAGTGCCGATAGAAAGAACCCATTATCCTGTTTAATCTTTTTAAATAAATGACTGCAAGTAAGTGTAAATTCTGAGAAAATTACATTCCTGTAACATGCCTCATAGCCCTACTGACACAATATGTACATCTATGACAATACAGTCACCAAATATACAAAGTAGAAACATAAATAAAGTGTATATACCCCTGGGTGTATAACTTGATCATTACAATGTATGGAAAATAATTTGATAGCCATAATTTTATATCATAAAAGATGAAGTGCCTTAGACTAAGAATGAGACTTTAGGTGAGAATTTCACAGAAACCTAAAATAATAACTTTAGCTATTGCTATGATTAAGTCCAACTTGTTATTAAAGAAACTAAGCTATTCAAGAACCAAATAGAAAAACAAAATAGCAACAACAAGAACCAAAAAGCATCAGATTCTCTTCCCATAAATGTACAGAGACTAAGCCAGCAGATGACTCTGGAAGAAATGTCCAGAAGCTGGGAAATCATTACTGTTGAATTAATGATCATGACTCTACTTATACAATAAAAACCCAGACCTCATCCCTAAATCCCCTTTCTGCTGTGTCAAACCCCTTTTTTACTGTATTAAATTATGATGGGTGGAGCTGAATTTTCTTTGTATAAAGTACCAAAAGTGGCAAATAATGGCTTAAGTATCCAAATGCTTTATGAGCAAATTTCACTTATAAGGGATGAATTTAGATTAAAAAGTACATATTACATTTTAGCGAAAATGTCAAAGATTACCAATTGATCCTAAATTCAACCATTTTATATGAGCTGTGTCCTTGGACAGATCCTTCTGTTTCATAGTGTGGATGCACCTTTTCCATCAATATATCAGGGTTAAAGAGCATGCAAGTTGTAACTCCACAATAAAATTAAGAAACATTTTGGTGTGTTTTTTTATACAAGGTTTTACTTTTACAAAAGTATCCCTTTAAATAAGATGCATCTGATGTACAAAGTATCAAACATGTTTTGTTTTGTTTTGTTTTCTCAGCTTGAAAAGAGGCTGGAAATGGGATGCAGGTTAGGTTCAGAGCTTAACTTTGTAACAACTGGACATAAGGTTCCTCAGAATTGTCAAGTCTCCTCTGCGTCCTACTACCTTTTCTCAATTAACCACAATATATGAAATAATTACCATAACATTTCCCAGTTCTTATAATTTACATGATATAAACTTACTTGGTAGCAGCTGGTATTTAGTCATGAAGAAATACACAAAGTAAAATGGCTGCTGACTACAATGTACAGCTATTGCTGGGTGTGATGGAATGTACAAATGGAGGTGATGGAGACGAGTTTTTCCACCAGAGATATTGCCTTTCCATGCAGCACTTGTGCTCTCAGCTTTAACTTGGCTTTTGGTTCTTCATTTGTCTTCAGTATCTATTCTGGTGCTCATAATGCCACCGATTAAAATCTATATTGAAAGCTACAATGCTACCAGAAGCCATGCCAGTGATCAGAGTCCTGGGAAAGCAGAGACAGCATTAGGAGTGACACAAATCATTGATGTGGCTGCTATTTTACACAAGACATGATCATGATCTCAAAGTTCGCCACATCTCAGTCCTGTGTTTACTGGGATAGGATTAAAATGTATTCGTGGTTCTCCTGAGTGAAACTGAATCAACTCCACATACCTGAACCGTCAGATTGAGTATAGTTTAATGCTTGATAAGACACCTTGTCAGATAAGCACTTTGGAGTATGCACTCTCAATATATGTTTACCTAACAACTCGTAACTGAGATGAAGGGTGAGATTATTTTTGTGTTTTATAAGGACATAGAAACTTGGTAGTATCTTTCCTCACTCCTCTTCAGTGACCCCTGACTCAGCTGTGACTATGCCTATGCTCTCTGACTGACCTACCTCTCCACACCTAGAGAAAGCCTTACTGCCCTCTCCACCCTTCCAGAAGAAACAAGTCTATTATTCTGTCCTCGCTTCTCTCACATATAATTATGGTTATTTGAGTTCTTTGGGGCCAGTAATCTTGTTATGTGTTATATCCTGCTTAATCTATGATGGTGGTAGCAAATGTTTCCAATCTGAATATATGATGAATAAGTAAGAATATCAGAGAGAACAGTTCAATTCTTTAAGAACACAAATTATTTCAAATACTTTAGAAACATCTTTGCATATATAAGTAATTACCCAGGAAGCCATTCCTATTTATTCATTAATATAGACTACAGCAACTTAGAATAGCATTCTAAGAATAATCTGCTTAAATTTTCTTTAAAGCCAGGCTGAGCTGCAGATGAAATATCCCTTCTCCAAACTAAATTAAATTATACTGTTTTTTATAACTTCAGTACCATTTTACTATATTATAAAGATGCTTTGTTAAATTTATTACATAAGCCTTAATACTTATATTTTAAAAACAATATTCTTATAAAGAATATACATATAGTTGAAAACTTTGATTAACAAGCTTTTCTTTTTTTTCTGTTAGAGGGTGGAGTAAAAGTAGGTTTACAGTTGTTTATATGGAAAACAATATAATAATTAAATAACAATATAAGAATAATCTCTGTTTCACATACTCACAACTACAAACCTACTTTTGCCTGTGTATAGCAAAACATGAGCAATTACATACCATATTAAAATTATACAGTTTTAATTTATTTTCAAAATTTAGAAATTTTAAGACTTTACATTCTAAATAGTGTTTTCACTATATAATAAACCAAAGGTGAATTTTAGGAAATAGCAAAATCTTGTTGCAAACTAAGAAAAAATGAAAAATCATATTAATTAAGAAAAGACTGTAGTGTCTCAGGGAAACACATAAAATTCAATAAAATAACATAATTGAGAAAAATGTAAATAAGAAAATGGGGTGGGGATTGTTTTGAGGAATGAGGGAGTGCCTCGCCTCTTTTGAAGCAGGCACCAGCTATAGTCTGCACTGTGCGTTTTTCTGGAAATTAGTTAGTGGGAAGTACGCCTGAAGCTGAAGGTCAGCTCTGCTGAAATTGTCTCCTTTACATCATGTAAGCCAGCGAGGCCTGGCTGAGCCTAGGGGAGGGTATGAGAGCAGAGGTGTTGATGGAATAATTCTGTTTGGGCTGTGCCTGTTCATTTTTAGACTCCCTATTTTCCTTTGTTTTCTTTTTGTCTTCTGTTTGCCTCTTGCCAGAATCCTCTATTACAGCACATACTCCTATCCTCAACTTACCCTTTTCTGAACTAGTCTTTTTTCCATCTAGATGCTGGAATCTTACAGCATATTTCACCCTTGGTAGAATGTAAAGAACTTTCCATGACCATTCTCAAGTGATTACACTTCCCCTCATGGCTCACCTCTGGTCATGGGATAAATCCATTGCTCTAATGCCAGCGTCACATCCAGGGTAAATGTACAGCTGCTTGAAGTCACAGGCCTGCCAGACTTCGACCACACCATTGTCCCCTCCAGTCACCAGGTTCTGGCCATCACTGCTCAGGAGAATTGCCTTCAGAAAAGGCAGAAAAACAGACATTTCTCTCAGTGTTTCCCAACCAATGGTCAGTACTAAAAAAATAATACAGTTTCTTATAATTATTATCAACTTTTAACCATATGTCCAAGTTTTTTGAAGTCTGATCCATGGAATTTCCAATGTGGAATTCATCAAAATTATTACATAAACAAAGGATCTTATTAAAACCAATTTATATTACAAAATAACAGAAGTCCCAAAGAGAATATCATCAGTCTAATCCAAGAAGAAGTTGAGAATGAAGTAACATGATGTTTTGTTAAGCCCCAAATATTAACAATGTTAAGACTTTTAGAACAAATGGCAGGAGCATATTTCAATAGTTTTTAATAATTATAAACCAGGGATTACAGTTTATTTGTGAGTGAAGGATAATTTGGTATATGTAATTTTGGTCTACAGGCCTAAAAGTAAGATTCTTTTATAAAAACTCAGGGGATACAGCATTGACACCGCTGTTTAAAACTGTGTAAAAGGAATTTAAAAAAATCTCTTTAAGAGTCTAACCTCTAATCAAACAGCAGCTATTATCTGCAAAGCCTAACTCACTGAGTTAATTACTTGGGATTAAGTGAACTTTGTGTTTGTTCAAAGAATCCAGTCACCCTTGGTCGAATGTAAAGCACTTCTATGAATTTATATGTCTTTAAAACCAGCACACATTTATTGAATACCAGAGAAGTTCTATTATGAATCCCAATATAAATCACTTAAAATAGTCAATATTTAATCTGTTGGTTTTAGTCTCTATTTAGCACTAAACATGCAGATTTACCCGGGTTGAATCATTGATTTCCATTTGAGCCAAAAGCTTCCCATTAATACTGAAATTGCTGAATCGCCCTCGTTCGTAGTATATGATACAGTGGCCTTCACTGGAGACAGAAATCAAGCGCGGGAACAAGCAATTTTCTGGTCCTTCAAGGGCTCTCAGCAAATCTCCAGTAATTGTGTGGACAAGGCAAGGGCCCTCTGCAGAATGGAGTGCAACAATGGCCAGAGTCATTGGTGATGACAAGTCACATATTAGCAACCATAAATCCACAAACCATCCTTGGTATACACTCAGATGTGTGAAAGAAGGTAGGCAATAAAAAAAGAAGTATGCTGGCAAGAGCCAAGAGCCGATGTTATGTTTGAATGCAACAAAAATAGAGAACTATTAAATAATACACACATATCTTCCAAAATTTTTATCCAGTTAAAGACTTGGTCTTTTCTTCCATAAAAAAAATATAGTTCATAGATTATGTGAGAATAAAAAAACTACATGACCCAAAAGTTTTTTCTTAATTTGCTTATAAAAATATTTTCTTTAAAATTTTGGAGAATCATCAAAACAATTACTAATTTTGTTTAATGTATCAAAATTTTAATATTTGTATCACCTAAATACTTATTATCAGTATTAAATTTTACATTTTCTATAGTCTATACATAAAATGTAAGAGGCAAGTTGAAAATAATTAATCAAGTAATTCAGATTATAGTTACGCTTTTCGTCATTTGAATAAATGAATAGTGAGGCAGGAGTGTAAAAGGAGTATGCGGAGTGACTTATTTGCTCCAATTGTGTTCCCCCCTGTAAAATTGTGTTTGATAAGATAAAAAATTTAAAAACTCATAAAAATAATGTGTAACCATAGTTTGGTATGGCCTTCCCTGCCCACCTAAAAACCAACAAAACCTGTAGGTAAATTACATTTCTATTTTTCAATCAGCTGATTTAAGTAGGAATAAATATTATAAAATATGGTAAATGAAATTATAAAGCCATATCTAAGTCTTTTCCTGATTACTAAAGTAACATAGATTCATTATAGAAAATACAGAAAATTAGAAAGAAAAATAGCATCACTTCTAAAGTCATCTGTCACTTACAGAAAATTAATGTTTGTTTCCTATGCCTACTGGCTTTTTTTTTTTTTTAACTTTACCAGGTAAAATGATATTACATGTATTGTTAGTGTTTCTTTTTAATTAAAAAGACAGTTATTGAAAATATTCTATGTGTATATCTCTGGGTTATTAACTCTTAGATACAAAATCGAAGAAAACATCTTCCATACCTTCTATTTTTATGAATATAAAGCAACCAGAATAAGCTCCTAAAAAACAAACCTTATTATCTCATCAGCTTGCTTAGAAAACTTCAATAGTTTCCCACTGTACTTATAATAATAAAAGAAAATAAATCACAAATCCTAGTGCCATTGGCCTCTTCCACTCTTCAGCCTTCTTTCTCTTTAATTCTGTGGCATCCTCACTCAATCTCTTTGGTTTTCTTTCAGTTTCTCTAAGATTGGGCTTCTTCCTGCCCCCAGAGCTTTCCCATAAAGAACTGGTATCTGAGCCAGAATTAGAACCCAAGTTTCCTGATTTTTCCTAAAACAACACTTCTGCCACAAAACACACACAAAAAAACCCTAAGCTAGCAATTTTCAACTTTTCTCATCTCACAGCACACATAAACTACAAAATTCTGCATGCAATAGTGTGCCTGCCAGGGCACACCAGTTCAAATAGTTACCCTCAGTGTCATTTTTTCTTTTCTATCAACCTCTACCTAGTCCCCTCTACTTATGAAGAAAAGGGTAATACGTGTGATGGTCCCAGGCCATGTCTGATGAGCAGGGTGATGTCCCACCAGGGTGACTCCCACCATGAACGTCTTCCTAGTCTTCCCTTGATTTCTACATGAAGGTTTTAGAGGTTGCATCACACAGGAAGCACTGCAGTTTCATTTTCCAGCATTCTAGCTAGAATGCCGGTGACCACACTATATAACATAAAAGTTTTTATATCAGCCCTGGTAATTATTGATACTAAAACTAAACAGCTGCAAAAATCCTGGGGTTACATTTGTCTATAGAGAGCCTTCTAAAGGAAAAAAAGTCATGCATCATGGTTAACTTAAGGAAATGGTACAGTTTTAAAAGACCCAAAATGAAAGAATAATTTCTGACCTTTCGCACCACTGATAACAAGTCCAAGCTCTGCACAGACAGAGACACAGACAACTTCATGGTCGTGGCCCGTGAGAACAGCCCGTGGTGCAGGATAGTCACCTGCAAGGAAATAGCAACAGAGAGTACTGTATGCCGATGGCAGAAACGAAGAGGTACATTGTTAAATCAAATGTTTAAAATAATAACAGTTAATGTTTGTTAATGGCATTGACTAGCTGTGTTTTAACACGAGCCAGTTACTTAACCTCTCTGCTGTTTCCTACTTAGTAACAAATATAATGTGCTTACATTATAAAATGGTGATAATTATTCCTTTTTCCTGGTTATTGTTATAAAACAGATACCAAACTGCCAAGGCATTTACATGCCTTATCTTATTTAATAACAGCAATATTCAGATGAGTTAGGCACTGTTATTATCCCTCTTTTATAGCCAAGAAACCCATGTTTATAACTTGTACAAGTTCATACAGCAAGCAAATTCTGGACCCAGAGCTATCTAATTTTAAAATGCATGTTCCTACCCCTTTAAAAATATCCCTGAGGAGCTTTGACTATTTTAAATCCTCACCAGTTTATATGTTTATTGATTTTAGAGAGAGAAAGGGGAGAGAGAGAAAGAGAGAGAAATAAGAGAGAGAAAGAAAGAGAGAGAGAGAGAGAGAGAAATGAGAATAAACATTGACCAGTTGCCTCCCATACCTATGTATGTGTCCTGACCAGGAATCAAACCTACAAGCTTTTATTTCATGGGATACATTCCAACCAAATGAGCCACACCCACCAGGGATGATTTTTGAAGAGAAAGGAAAGGAAAGAAGAAATGGTAGTCTTAATTTCTCTCTTGACTTCATAAAGATAAAGACAGCTAAAGAGTCCAGCTGAACTATATGCCATAAGCATTCCCACTGTAAGGTGCTTTCAGGAACACTGAGTGAATGCCTTCTAAGTGACAGGCATTCTCCCAGCGGGCTAGAAGTGGGAAGTATAGAGGTATAAGACATAACCTGGAACTGTTGAGAACACATCAAACAACGCTGGCCTTGCATAGGCTTACTCTCACCACAAGCACTCAATAGTGAAAAGCATGAAGATGAACAAGTGTATGTGCACAGAGTATAGTAGGGACAAAAATAATCCACATAAAATTGAAGAGAGAATCAGAATATTTGGTGAATAAACTGCATGAAAACAGTGTGAGAAGGGTCAGCAAAGTTGAAAGGACATCATGGCCAACACTGTCTTACTGGGAAAACTAGAGAAGCCAGTTTGGAAGGAAAGTTAAGAATCTCTATAGTCTTGGGATGTAAAAGTGTGGAGGAAAAGAAAACAGAAAGTCATAAAGGAAATCTAGAAGGTGAATTGGGTATAGTGCCAATCTGGGAAGAGCTGTGATAGTTCGTTCAGTAAATGGGAAAAGAGGGCCAGTGTTGGCACTAAAGGAGGACCCAAAATATTCACTGGAACAGCTCCTAGAGCAATGGAAACTAAAGAGAAAATAAACAAATGGGACTACATAAAAATAAAAAGCTTTTTCACAACAAAAGAAACCATTAAAAACAAAACAAAACAAGAAAGCACACTGTATGGAATGCTTTCCAATGTTATCTCTGATAAGGGTTTAATTTCCAACATTTACAGGGAACTCATACAACTTAACAAAAGTAAGATAAACACTCCAATCAAAAAATGGGCAAAGGACCTCAGTAGACACTTTTCAAAAGAGGACATACAGAAGGCCATGAGTCCTATGAAAACATATTCAAATCCACTAATCATCTGAGAGATACAAATTAAAATGACAATGAGTATCATCTCACACCTGTCAGAATAGTTATCATCAACAAACAAGTGCTGGTGAGGATGCAGAGAAAAAGGAACCCTCGTGCACTGCTGGTGGGAATGCAGTCTGGTGCAGCCACTGTGGAGAACAGTATAGAGTTTCCTCAAAAAACTAAAAATGGAATTCCCATTTGACCCAGTGATCCCACTTCTAGGAATATATTCCAAGAAAATAGAAACATGAATCAGAAAGGATATATATACCCCTATGTTCATAGCAGCACAATTCACCATAGCTAAGAGTTGGAAACAGACTACCCATCAGCAGATGAGTGGATTAAAAAACTGTGGTACATCTACATAATGAAATACTATGCTGCTGTAGAAAAGAAGGAATTTTTACCATTTGCAACAGCATGGATGGGACTGGAGAGCATTATGCTAAGCGAAATATGCCAGTCAGAGAAAGATAAATATCACATGATCTCACTCATTTGTGAAATATAGTGAACAAAAACAGTTCCAGAGACAAAGAAGCATTGATCAGACCATCAAACCTAAGAGGATAGGTAAGGAAAGGGGGGGGGGGGAAGGGGAAGAGATCAACCCAAGGACTTGCATGCATGCATATAAGCATAACCAATGGACATAGACAATAGTGTAGTGAGAGAGTGAGAGGGAGGGTGAGGGGTAATGGGGGGATAAGGACACATATATAATACCTTAATCAATAAAGAAAAAAATAAAACAACAACATAGATAACTGATCTATAAAATATGTGAACAATATAATTTGGGACAAGCATATTTATACATCAATATGACAATGTAACAGTTGGGATTAAAATATTGGGCAGAAACAACCAAAATAAAATTCAACAAATATATGGGAAAAAAAGATTCACTGAAGTGAAACTCCCTTGAAGGCATTGTAATCAGAAAGATGGACATAAAACACTTACAGTCCGTTTAATCAGACTCAACAAATATCAATGTTTTGTAATACCCCACTATTTCATTAAAGGCATCACACATATTAATATCTTATGTTGCCTATTTATCTTTTTTAATTTAAAATATTTCTTATTGATTTTATAGAAAAGAAGGGAGAAGGAGGGAGAGAGGAAATGAAGGAGGAAGGCAGGGAAGGAAGGAGGAAGGGAGGGAAAAAGAAACATTGATTGATTGGTTGCCTCTTGCATGCACCCCGACTGGCAATCAAACCCTCCATCTTTTTGTGTTTGGGACGACATTCCAACCAAGTGAGCAACACAGCCAGGGCTCTAACATTTCATTTTTAAACAGCTCTATCTGTGACATTGGTTTATCCTGGCTGTGTTGTTTAGTTGATGCTATATCATCTTAACAAAGAGTAAACATTATATGTAAATACTAGAGGCCCAGTGCACGGAATTTATGCATGGAGGGGGGAATGTCCCTCAGCCCAGTCTGCACCCTTTCCAATCTGGGACCCCTAGAGGGATGTCCAACTGCCTGTTTAGGCCTGATCCCATTCTGCCTAAACGGGCAGTCAGACATCACTCTCACAATTCAAGACTGCTGGCTCACAATAGCTTGCCTGCCTGCCTTCCTGATTGCCCCTAACTGCTTCTGCCTGCCAGCCTGATCACCCCTAACCACTCTGCTGCCAGCCTAATTGATGCCTAACTGCTTCCCTGCCAGCCTGTTTACCCCTAATTGCCCTCCCCTTTAGGCCTGGTCACCCCTAACTGCCCTCTCCTACAGGCCTGGTTCCCCCTAACTGCTCTCCCCTGCAGGGCTGAGTCCCGCCCAACTGCCCTTTCCTGCAGGCCCAGTCCCCTCAACTTCCCTCCTCTGCCAGCCTGGTCACTACTAAGTGCCCTCTCCTGCAGGCTTGGTTTGTCTCAACTGCCCTCCCCTGCCGGTCATCTCATGGCAGCCATCTTGGGTGGAGCCATCTTGTGTGTTGGAATGATGGTCAATCTGCATATTACTCTTTTATTAGATAGGATAGAGGCCTAGTGCATGGTGGGGGCCAGTTGGTTTGCCTTGAAGGGTGTCCTGGATCAGGTTGGGAGTTCCCTTGGGGTGTGGGGCAGCAGGGGCAAGGGGCCTATGGTGGTTTGCAGGCTGGCCAAGCCCCCTCATCCCCCTAGCAACCCAAGCAGAGGCCTTGGTATCTGGGATATATTTATCTTCTACAATTGAAACTTTGTAGCCTTAAGTGGAGGCCTAGGCCAGCAAGGGCAGGCGGAAAGCTTGGCTTCTTTCATTGCTGGGGAAACCCAAGCCTCCCTCATGCTCCCTGTGGTGATAGCCATCTTGGTTGGGCTTATATGCATACTCACTCTGATTGGCTGGTGGGTGTGGCTTGTGGGTGTAGCAGAGGTATAGTCAATTTGCATATTACTCTTTTATTAGATAGGATGCCTTTGTGCATATATATAAACTTCATTATTCACTTTAAGTTGTCAGTATCATTGCCCATCACTTTTTTCCTTAAAAAGGCATGTTGTAACTTGGTCTTATAACTACAACTCTTCCAGAATTCTTGGTATTTCTCAAGCTACAATCTATGTACCCTGAGATCTGCAAATATTTTATGGAGGTAGGAAAGTTCTACAAAAAGTTTCAAATTTGAGATTTGTATTTTAATAATTCTCTAAAAATGTTTTTAACCAGTTATAAGGATAAAATTTCTGTCAAAATTTAGTCAATGACAATTTAAAGTTGAAATTTAATTAAGTCATTGTTTCTCCAAATAGGGTTCACGGGGCAAGAACACATTTCTCTGAGTCATTGTTAATGACAATTTTGTACACTTTAAAGGGGTCAGTGTATTAGTCAAGTTTGAGACTTATTTTTTCCTCCAAGTTCATCTTTTCAAGTTGGCATTTATCTTATTTCCCTTTGTTTTTAATGTATTTTTACTAGAGGTTCTGGTGCATGAAATTCATGCATCGGAGAATCATCGATCAGCTGCCTCTTGCACTAGCTCTAATAAGATTGCAAGAGGCAGCTGATCGATGATTCTCTCTCATTGATGTTTCTGACTCTCTATCCCTCTCTCTTCCACTCTGTAAAAAATCAATAAAATATATTTTAAAAAAATCATCCTAGCCCCTCTTTATTGTTGTCTCCATTGTCTCCATTCCCCTCTTTATTGTTGCCTTACATTCTGAGGTTATTACTGCACTTTTATCATCCACTCGCTCTAATAAGATTGTGGATTTTTAAGGGCTGAGATCACGACTTGAGCTTGTGTGTCTCTGTCATGGTGCCTCGATAAATACTCAAATGCCATCCAGTCCAAATGACAGTGATGAGAGAGGCCC